CACTGGCATAGCTCACTGCAACCTCTAACTCCTAAACTCAAGCAATCCTCCTACCTCAGCCTCTTGAGTAGCTCAGACTACAGGTGCATGCTACCACACCTGTATAATTTTTCTTACTTTTTTGTAGAGATGGTGTATTTATTTTTATAGGCAAATAGCTGCTACAGGATATAAGTCCTTTGAAAGGTGTATTAGGCTGGGTATGGTGGCTCATGCCTGTAATCCCAGCACTTTGGGAGGCCAAGGAAGGAGGACAGCTTGAGGCTAGGAATTTGAGACCAGCCTGGCCAATGTATGGAGACCCCATCTCTACCAAAAAAAAAACCAAAAAACAAAAGAAGAAAATAAATAAATACATAAAGGTCTGTTAAAGGCCTAGATATTGTAAATGCACTATACGAGGAACAGTTTCTAGATGAGGAGAGAAAAACCAAAGCACGATGTGGCTAAAACAATGTAGTTTTGAAAATTCCTACTGCTGTCCAGAAGCCAAAGGTAGCTAAAACATGCTTCTAGTTGTTCAGATATGGAGCTCTGCTGTACACTTAGGAATGAGGGGTCATCTATAGCAAAAACCACAGAGATTTACCCTCAATATAACGTTTTTCTTGGAGGCTTGCCTAATGTAAAATTTATATCAAGCGATCATCATTTCCTAGGTTTTGTTTTCAAATTTGTATTGTTTTCTGTAACAGTAAGTCATCAAACCAAACAATAACTCTTGTAGCTTTCATTTAAATTTTATAATATAATCTATTCATAAAAATTGATTCACAAATCCAGGAAGGAAAAAGGCCACATTTCTCCAATTTTAAGATTGGAAAATATAATTATCATATGTTTAATGAATGGTAGGGTAAACAAACTGCAGGCCAAGGATGTTATACAAGGCACTCCAATTTATTTATAGGCACAAACTAAACCACAAACAGCACACTGCTCTCCTCTTAGCCAGATACATTTTTTCCTACTATTCCATTCAAATTGAGTCTGTAATTTGGCATTGCACTTGTTCCTTTCAAATCAATGCATTCAGTTTTTCTTTTAAGTTGTCTTACCTTTTGTAAACTGGCCCTGTCTGATGGTGGAATCATCTCAGGAGTAAGAATGTGAGGAGGATCAATGCCCTTTATTAACTTTTGATTGATTAAGTGAAAAGCCAATGCAAACTGATCTTTTGAAAGCTTCCCACAGTCCTTTGTGTCACATAATGCCCTGTACAAATAAACAAAATGAACATTATAAATGTGACAACTACTATTCTAAAAATTCAGGGAGAAAGTACAACTATGTACCTTTTCAAAAATAATGAGCTGAATTTTAAAAGACAGTCACACCAACTTGAAGCTGAATGTTCACCCCGGTGTTGAGCAGGATCCTCTAATCTGGGTATACTTTGTGCTTTCTTACCAATTTCCAGAACCACTACAGAGTAAGAGTTGTGGTGGGCCAAAGAATCCCAACATTCCCTACTCCCAAAATTTTTAACATTAAACAATGTTAAAGATGAAACCTAACTCTCAAAAAATTTGATTCATTGGTGGCACTAGAATTATTCTAAAACAAGCAAAAATTTTCATGTCAGCTTGCTTCCTGCAACTCTTGGAGTAGGAGGATACAAGGATCACGCCAAAGCAGAATGAACAGCTGCAAATGGAGATCACATGTGAGAAGAAGGCAGCAATCTGGAAAGTTTTACAAAATCACTTGAAGAGAAACAGAAAAGGTTTTATTCTATTTTCTTTTCTTTTTTTTTTTTTTTTTTTTAAAGCTCAGCTTTCTGAAGTCCTGATCTGTTAAATTCATCGAAAGCCAGGAGGATGTAATGAAAAGACTATGCGCTATGGTATCAAATAAACCTTGAATTCCAGCCTTCTACTTATTTCTTCTCGTGACCTTAGTAAATTTTCTCCAAGCCTTAGATTCCTCATCTATAAAGTAAAGATGATAACATCCTTCATGCAAAGTTACTATGAGGATTAAAGACATAGTAAGTCTGGGCATAATGCCAAGCCTGTGACAGCTGCCATTCATTGAACATAGTACCTAGTTCAGGCACTCAAAAGTGACAGCTATTACTAGTTATGCATATTTAATCTTTCCCAGTCTTGGGTTCTTGTTCCTTTTAAGGCAGATCTATTGTCCTCCTCTGTTCTTTTCTAAGTTTCCCTTTGCAACTATGTGGTTCTTCTTCTGATGTTTGCTGCCTCTTGAAACCTCAAGATAACCTCTGGCACAGTTAGGTAGATTGGTAATTGGTATTAGGCACACTACAAAGCTTTTCATATACATTATCTCATTTTACATGAAATTCATTAAAGACACTAAGGTTTGTCTCTTTCTTTCTTTCTTTTTTTTTTGAAACAGGGTCTCACTCTGCTTTGTCACCCAGGTTGCAATGCAGTGGCATGATCATAGTTTACTGTAACTTCGAACTCCTGGGCTCAACCGATCCTCTCACTTCAGCCTCCCAAGAAGCTAGGACTACAGATGCACACCACCACGCCAGGCTAATTTTTATATTTTTTGTAGAGATGGGGGTCTCAATATGTTGTAAAGGCTGGTCTAACTCCTGGCCTCAAGCAATCCTCCTACCTCCAAAGTGTTGGCCAGGTTTGTCTTTCATTAAGAACCACGTATATTATTCCTGCGTAAAGGTTTGGAAGTATACATACACCCTAAGGAATTATACAGGTATGCCTTGAAGATACTGTTTTTTATACTGTTTACATTTCAGATATTTGTATTCTCTCTTAAGATTTTAACTTTAGGCCGGGCGAGGTGGCTCACGCCTGTAATCCTAGCACTCTGGGAGGCCGAGGTGGGTGGATCATTTGAGCTCAGGAGTTCGAGATCAGCCTGAGCAAGAGTGAGACCTCATCTCTACTATAAACAGAAAGAAATTAGCCAAACGACTAAAAACAGAAAAAATTAGCCAGGCACAGTGGCATGTGCCTGTAGTCCCAGCTACCCGGGAGGCTGAGGCAGGAGGATTGCTTGAGCCCAGGAGTTTGAGGTTGCTGTGAGCTGGGCTGACACCAGGGCACTCTAGCCCAGGCAACAGAGTGAGACTCTGCCTCAAAAAAAAAAAAAAAAAAAAATTAACTTTAACTGATATAAACAGCTGCTGCATTTTAACATTCTAATAACAATTAACTGACACTGTCAATCTTAAAAAGCTTCAGGTAACCCATTCTCAAACTTTTGTCTATTACCCAGAAGAATTCTTCAGATTTAAATTTTCTCTATAAAGAATTCTGAAACAAAAACTGTCCTATTTACAAATGACAAAAAGTAAGAAGGCATAAAACTGGAGTTAATGCAAAATCATATTTAAAAAAAATTAATTTAAATAAAGTCTTACCAAATATGGGCTAGTAAGGCAGAAGGTAAACCTGTTTTCAGGAAGATTTCACGAACCTCCAATCCAGATACAAATCCATCCATATCTTTATCAGTTTTCAGGAAGATTTCATCATATTTAGCTTTTTCTGCAGGGGATACAACCCACTACAGGGGGGAAAAAAAACAGTATTTCTGCCAAAATGAAACAAACTGAAGTGTCATCTTTTAATCCATGACAGTATGTCACTAATTTTGAACAATTCTACCCTCTAACTACAGCAAGAGTGTATCATTTCCATATCGCATCTCAATCGAAATGCTGTGGTGAAGAGAAAATAATAGAAGAAAAATATAGGTCAGTTAGTACTATATTTATAAATGCACATTTTACTTTTTTTCAAGTAATGAGTAAATTCAAGCATAGTTAACTCTTGATTTATGAATGCCCGCATTAATATAGGTAACAGAGTCTGTATAAACAAGATATTCAGATAATTCTCCATCTTTATTTTTTTACAGCTTCACTCAGCAGTCTTGACTACAGCCAGACTGGCTGATTTGCATATCCTGCCATTGTCCGCCTTTATTCAACCTGGTATGAGGCAGGCTGGAGGGGAAAAAAAGGCCGTGGACAACCCAGAACTGGATAATGTGATCCCCCAAATCAAGAGTTAACAAGAGCTTAAACAAAAACAACTATTAATTATGCCAGGGCAAGCATGCCATGTTAGCATGGAGTATCTTCCATTTCTAACTTTAATTCCCTAAGGCCAGATGCAGATGGAATGTCTGCCTCCTCTGGAACATCACATTATGTAGATTGAACCAGAGGGAGCTCTAAATTTTTGATCCCTTTGATTGATCCTTCTATCTTTATCAAGTAATCAACTGTTAAATGCCATGCACTTTTGTTTAAAAAAAAATCCTTTAACACTGATAAATCTATACCTGTCTTAATGGTGCTTTGGTAGGTAAAATGCCTACAGGTGGTAAGGAGTGGTAAGATTCCTTGGCTGATGCTGGAGAGGGGATCAACCGCACAGAGCCTGATATACTGACCGTTTTTCTCTTGGAAGGTGGCGCCAAGGCTGGAGGCAAGGACATTGGCACAGGTTCTTTCTCCAGTGCACGATATACCAAAAACATGGCCTTCAAAATAAATGAAGTAGGGTTATATATATTAAAACAATATTCACCCTATTGATTACTGTTCATCAACAAATCATCTTCAAGCTATCTCAAATCCTTTTTTAAGAAATTAGGTTGGGAGGGAAAGAGGAAGAAAAGAGGGAAGGATGAAAGGAAGAAGGAAGAAAAGGAAACAAATCAAAGCTAAACAATTTTTATGAAGATATCCTTAGCAAAAACTTAGAGACATACCCTTCAACTAAAGTTCTTGTAATGTCAAGGGCAAAAGACAATTTGGGAAAAAAATATCAGCAAAGAAAGTAGTAATCTCCCTAATATACAAAGAAGTCCTAGAAATTAGAAGAAAAACCAAAATCCAACAGAAAAATAGACAAAGAGTATGAACACATATTTTACAGAAAAGTAAATATCATAAATGGCCTATCCTTTAACATATAAAAATATGCTCAATTAAACTCACATGAAAACTGTAAATAAAAACTATACTGAAATACCGTTTTCCATCTAATTGGCAAAAATCCAAAGTTTCATAATATATTTTGTTGCTAAACTGGGAGGAAACTCTCATACATTGCTAGTGGAAGCCAACTTTGGTATAAGGATTATTTTTAGCTGAGGACAACTGAGAAGTAGCAGATATAAGAAAAGCTCTCTGCCCTCCCAGTATTTGCCTAAAAGCAGGACATAAATTTACAAAGGTGTCCCTCCTCCCGTCTCTACAAGGAAAAATAAAAAGTTCCTCCCGAAACAACTTTACACACTTATCAGCCTGGAGATGCCACCAGAAGAATCTACCAAACAAACTTTGCTAAATAGTTTTTATTAACCATTAGTTTCCCATTTATTTAATTTGTAGCCCCTTAGAGACTCAAGGTCCTTTTCCTTTGTCTTGTCACTTCTCTAAAAATGTATTATTCTTTGTTGTTACATAAGCCTGAATTGTAA